AAAGTTTCTCCTATTTTTAGCATTCAGGTCCCCTCCCCAAAATTACTCTCCATTTGGGTTCAAAGGTCCTATACATTCACTTAACATCTCTTATTAATAACATCTCTTTTTATTATATTTTTTTTTTTATTATTTTTTTTTATTTATTTTTTTTTTTTATCACACCGGCCGTTCCCACCAAGGGGGGGTGGCCCAAAAAAAAGAAAAACTTTAAACCCATCATTCACTCCATCACGTCTGCCAAAAGGGGTGTTTACCTACATTTTTTTAAAACGCAACTTTAAACACCCCTCCTTAAATGCGGGCACTGTATTCCCAACCCAGACTCAAGTCCGGCCCCCGGTTTTTCCCTGAATCCCTTCAAAAATGTTATTTGCTCAACCCAACAGACGTAATTAAAAAACCATTTGTCTCCATTCACTCCTACAAACACGTCACGCATGCCCTGGAACCCCAAGCCCCCCCACAAAAAACCCCCCTTTTCCCCCTCCCTCCAACCCTTCCTAGGCCGACCCCACCCCGCCTTCCTTCCACACGCTGATACCTCTTGAAGTCATCTTTTCGCTCCATTTCTCTACATGCCGAACCCCTCAACAACCCTTCCTCACCCTCTGGACAACATTTTGGTAATCCCGCACCCCTCCTAATTTCCAAAACTACAAATTCTCTCATTATATCACACAAACTTCCCCCTCAGAATGACATCCCACTGCCTCCACCTTCTCCCGCTGAAAATTCACACCCCCCTTTCACACCCATATAAACGTTGGTAAAAACTATACTCTCATACATTCCCCTCTTTGCCCCCAGACAAAGTTCTTTGTCCCCAAGATTCCTAATGCACCACTCACTTTTTTTCCCTCATCAATTCTAGATTCCCTATTTTTCATAGACCCCATCCGCGACACGCCCACTCCCAAATATCTAAAATTTCCCCCTCCTCCATACTTCTCCCCCCAATCGTATTCAATCTTTCAACCAATCTTTTGTTACCCTCAAAACCCTTACTTTTCCCTTTTTAAACCTTTAATTTTCTTCTTTTTTCACACCCACCAAAATTTCCCCCACCCTCTCTGCAACTTCTCTTCAAATCTCCCAAAAGCACAGGTCATCAGCAAAGACAGCGTGACAACCCCACTTTGTGTGTGATTTTTTTATCTTTTAACTCCCCGCCTCTTGCCAAGACCCTGCATTTACTTTTTCTTAAAACCCATTATAAATATATTAAACAACCACGGGGGACATCAAAACTCCCTTTCTAAGGCCTTCTTTTACTGGGAAAAATTTCCCTCTTTTACTCTTAAATTGAAACTCACATCCCGTAAAAACTCTTCAAATCTTTCATAACCTACCTCCACAACCCTACACTTGCAACATCGCCACATTGCCCCCCTATCCCCCTGTCATACGCCTTTTTCCCAAAACCATAAAAGCCAAAAGACCCTTGCCCTTTTCTAAATACTGTCACTTTTATGTTTTACTGTAAAAAACCTGGTCCCCAAAACCCCCCACCCTTTTCCAAAGCCTCCTTGTTCATCTCATCCCATTCCCCCCTTTACTCTTAATTTTTTTCAAATTTTAAAACCCACCATACATTTAACAGGTACATAACAGACTTATCCCCCCCATAATTTTTGCACCTTTTTTTATCCCCTTTGCCTTTAACAAAGGAACTAGCATGCTCCCTTTCCCAAACCCTAGGTACCTTACCCCCTTCCAACTTTATTAAAAAATTCACCCAACCCTCCAAAACATACCCCCCTGCTTTTAAAAAATTTCTATCTTTATCCCATCAATCCCGCTGCCTTTCCCCCCCTTCATTTTACCACTCCCCACGAACTTCCCCACACCACAACTGGCTCTTTCCCCACTCCCACAAGAGTTATTCCTCCTTGCCCATACAGAAATCACAGCTTCCCTATCTTTACAACATTTTAAAAAAATTTCCCCAAAAAATTCCTTCCATCTTCCCAATCCCCCTAAATCTCCTTTAATAAAATCTCCCTCCTATTTTTAATGACAAATCCATTTTTTTCCCAGGCTTTCTTAAATTTTTAAACCACTCCAAAAATTTTTCTTTTTTTCAACAAAATTGTTGATAACATCTACCCACTCTCTCATTGCTCTCTTTTTCATTGCTTTACCCCTCTCTTAACTTTCTCTTTTTTTCCCTTACTCTTCCCTCCTTCATCACTTTTACTTTGTAAAAACTTCTCATATGCTAACTTTTTCTCCTTATACTCTCTTTCACATCATTCCCCAATCGCTCCTCTTCCCCGCACCCACTTTCCTTAACCACAAACTTTTTGGGAACACTCAAAAACTACATTTTTAAACCTACCCCATACCTCTTCGACCCCATTGCCTATCCTCATTAGCCCACTTCCTCCAATAGCTTTTATTCTTTCCCAACTGCCCCTCTTTTTTTTTTGTTTATAAACCTTCACCTCTCTCTTTCCCCGAGCTTCATTCTCCCCGTTTCCCATCTACCTTTTTCCCCCAGTGAGTACAACTAGAAAAGGGTCTATATATCTGGGCCCCTCTATAAACAGTACATCCGAAGTCTACCAACATCTTTATCTACCCAATCATAACAACAACTTTCTGTTCCCTTTCGCCCTACATATATCGTGTTACTTATTTATCCTCTTTTTTTTTAAAATAAAGTATTACCTAAACAAACCCCTTTTTATACAAAGTTCAATCAAGGGGTCCCATTACATTTACACCTTGCACCCCAAACTTACCTACCCAAAACCCTCTCTAAAAGTTTCTCCTACTTTAGCATTCAAGTCCCCTACCACAATTACTCTCTCACTTGGTTCAAAGGCTCCTATACATTCACTTAACATCTCCCAAAATCTCTCTCTCTCCTCTGCATTCCTCTCTTCTCCAGGTGCATACACGCTTATTATGACCCACTTCTTGCATCCAACCTTTACTTTAATCCACATAATTCTTGAATTTACACATTCATATTCTCTTTTCTCCTTCCATAACTGATCATTTAACATTACTGCTACCCTTCCTTTGCTCTAACTCTCTCAGATACTCCAGATTTAATCCCATTTATTTCCCCCCACTGAAACTCTCCTACCCCCTTCAGCTTTGTTTCGCTTAGGGCCAGGACATCCACTTCTTTTCATTCATAACATCAGCAATCATCTGTTTCTTGTCATCCGCACTACATCCACGCACATTTAAGCAACCCAGTTTTATAAAGTTTTTTTCTTCTCTTTTTTAGTAATTGTATACAGGAGAAGGGGTTACTAGCCCATTGCTCCCGGCATTTTAGTCGCCTCATACGACACGCATGGCTTAGCGGAGGAAAGATTCTTTTCCACTTCCCCATGGACAATAGAAGAAATAAAAAAGAACAAGAGCTATTTAGAAAAAGGAGAAAAACCTAGTGTATGTATATATATATATATGCAATGTGCGTGTCTGTGAAGTGTGACCAAAGTGTAAGTAGGAGTAGCAAGATATCCCTGTTATCTTAGCGTGTTTATGAGACAGAAAAAGAAACCAGCAATCCTACCATCATGCAAAACAGTTACAGGTTTTTGTTTTCACAGTCATCTGGCAGGACGGTAGTACTTCCCTGGGTGGTTGCTGTCTACCAACCTACTACCTATATTATTATTATAATAATAATATTTTATCACACTGCCTTGGTGGGAATCGGCCAGTGTGATAAAATATTATTATTATAATGATAGAGCTTCAGTTCCCTGAATTATTAATAATAATAATAATAATAATACATAATACGTATGTAATAATTCAGATTGCTTCTGCTAGTTGGCACAGCTGGTAAGCAGTAAACATGTTTACATCCCTGTGGGGGCAGTTCTCTCGTGCTTGTTTGCATTTTTTTTTCAGTCATTTGGCCAAATTTCTTTTGTCTAACCATGGGTCCCAGTGATATACTGCAGTTAGCCTCAAAAATACTCTGTTTTCTCTTATAGTAAGAGCATGGGAAGATACTATGGTCAAATTGTGACAGAAATGGCCGACACTTCTGCCGCTGCCACTTCCTCTGCCACCATATTATGGCCTATTTTATTCATTCTTGAGTACATATCATGTTTCTGTGCTAATTTTATTGTTCATTATGTCATAGTAGATGAATTGTGATAGATAAATAAGCTATTAAGTTGATAATAACATCATATTCAAGTAGTTTTTCTCGTCTCTCCAGAGTGCAGGAACGAATTAATGGCTTTTCAATTAATTTAAATGAGGAAAATTAATTTGATGTACGAGTAAATTGAGTTACGAGCTTGCTCCTGGAATGGATTAAACTCATAAGTCAAGGTTCTATTGTATTTGCAAAGGGATTCAGGAATATCTATTTGATGAATTAATGGTTTGAGGATGGGAGCTACAGTGCCTGTACTTAGAAAATCAAGTTCAACTACAGCTATGAGATTCAATGGATTGTCATTAGACTAATTTTTTTGCTTCTGGAAAGGCAGCTATGCAGAATATGATGGTGTTTACTACTACATTTTACCTTGGTAATGGGCAATACCTGGAGGGTGTTCTGGGGGGGGGGGAGGTCAATGCCCCTGTGGCCCACTCCAATCTGCTATAGAAATCGAATTAAAGTATTTGTATCTCTCTTTACTATACTCCAAGTTAATTTTTTTTAAATATGGCACACGTTCATTCATTCTTCAACAGTTTTTGTAATTAAGGTGATTACTTGAGAGATTTGAGCAGGTTCATGCTGTTTGAATATGGTCATGCGATGATATTTGTGAAATATTTTACGTAGTTTTTATGTAGGAATATTTATGGTCATACAAAATAAATTTATTAAGGTGCAATAACACTTCTGGAAAATAATTTTAATATTTTTAATGCAGTATTCCTTTGTGATAACCGTATAAAATACAGTCCTGAACATAATACCTCAGCCCATACCAGGTCATAGCATGCTGTGGTCCTGGACATTTCCTCAGTGTTATTAATTAAATAAATATTCTTTTGTGCAGGAGGATAAGGAATCTGTCACTAAGTGAAGGGGAGGATTCTGTGGAGTCATCATACAGCACTGAAGATGAAGATGATGAAGATGATGATGAAGATGAAGATGAAGATGAGTGTGTTACTACTCAAAGCACTGATGCCTTACCATTCGACATTCAACATAATCTGACAGTGGAGAGTTCAGTGAATAAGAAAGTGTACAGACCATCAGAAACAGCAGTGGCTTTGACTGAAGATGCACAAAACATGGAGTCTGATATTGATGGCAATGTTGATGATGTAATGAATTCTGATTATTCTGGGGAATTCCCAGATCTTACTGACCCTTCATGGGAAAGTCCCAGCAAGGAAGGTAGCAATACAAAATCCCCAAAGAAGCAACTGAAAAAGAAAAGGAAACTGGGAGAAGAAAATAAAAAGAGAGGAGATGCTAAACTGATGAAAAGTGCCAGGAAGGCTTTTGAATATCAACGCAAAATGTTTAGAGCTAACAAAGATATGAAAACAATAAATAAAGGTGGACAAGCCAATATAATGCAATCAGAGTTGCCTATAAATAATGCAAAGTCACCTGAACATGTACTACAGGGCATCCAGCAAAGTTCCACATTCTCTGGCAAAAATATAGCTTTCTTCGAAAAACTGAGGAGAAATATGTTACGGACAATTCAGAAAGACAGTTTGATAGGATTCAAGTTGACAGGAGATCCAAATCTACCAGTGTCCTCTGGGCCTCCCTTAATTTCCTCTGCCATGCATATGGAAAAAGATGAGGTTTTATTACCTACCTTAGAAGCGGCATCTTCTAATAATCCCAATTTAATAGCCTTGTCTTCTGATGCCAATGTAAATACAGGTGGTACAAATTGTGGCAATATAGAAGGTGACCTAAACAATTCTTATGATTCAGATCAAACTGTGGCATTTGAAGAATCACAGTCACAATACACAAGCCCATTGCAAAATAACAACACAGAAATAATCAGAAAAAGAAAAAGATCAGAGAGTAAGGAAAAGGAAATTAGTGTTGGGAAAATTGAGAGAAATAAGGCAAAAAGGAAGAGTCAAGATAGACCTCAGGTATCAGCATTGCAAATGCCAGTGGAAACAGTACCATCTACTTTTGCCAGCATTCTCCCTGTTCCCACAGTAAGGCAGGGTGCTAATGAGATGGGGTCAGGCATGGACACTGTTATTTCATTAAGAACTGATAGGGTGCTCCAGGAAAGAGAAACATCCTCTGTTGGTGAGAAAAACAAACCCAAAGAAACTAATTATGAAGGTTCAGCATTGTTACTAGCTCAGGAAATTTCCAAGGGATCACATGTAGAAGATGGGAAAGAGAATAGATCATCTTGTGCATTACCAGTTGAAGCAGCATCTGTGACTAAGAGTGATGATGAGAAAAGAAGTGAATTAATTGAGAAGGAAACCCTTGAGTTAATTGGGTCGTGCTCTAGCAATTTATCTGAGTTACAACACAAGAAAATGAAGTGTGAGGAGAAGATCGAGTCATTAAAGACAGAATTTAATAGAAGGATTTCACTTCTCGAAGCTGAAAGAAAACATTATGACAAGGAGATAGACAAGACGACAGCTATGTTAAGTAGTTGTTATGCATCTTTGAAAAGCTCATCTGGGAATAGTGCTGCTAATAGAGTTGCATCTCTTGCTTCTCCCGAGGATAAAGGTTAGAATGTCTGAACATTACTGTATTGCTGTATAAGAATTTTTTTTTTTTACATATATTTTTTACATATATAAAAGTAGTAGGTTGGTAGACAGCAACCACCCAGGGAGGTACTACCGTTCTGCCAAGTGAGTGTAAAACGAAAGCCTGTAATTGTTTTACATGAAGGTAGGATTGCTGGTGTCTTTTTTCTGTCTCATAAATATGCATGATTACAAGTATGTCTTGCTACTTCTACTTGCATTTAGGTCACACTAAACATATATATACACGTTTATTTATACGCACTCATCTGAGTTTTCTTTGATTTCATCTTAGTTCTTGTTCTTATTGCTTTTCCTTTTATATCCATGGGGAAGTGGAATAAGAATGTTTCCTCTGTAAGCCATGCATGTTGTAAAAGTCAGCTAAATTGCTGGGAACAGTGGGCTAGTAACCCCTTTTCCTGTAATAATTACTAAAAAGAATAAGAGGAAGAAAATTGTCAAAGTGGGAAGTCTGAATGTGTGTGGATGTTGCACGAATGATAAGAAAGAGATGATTGTGGATGTTATGAATGAGAAGAAGCTGGATGTCCTGACTTTAAGTGAAACAAAGCTGAAGAGGGTGGGTGAGTTTCGGTGGAGAGGAATAAATGGGATTAGGTCGGGTTTCTAATAGAGTTAGAGCTAAAGAAGGAGTAGCAATAATGTTGAAGGATAAGCTATGGCAGGAAAAGAGGGACTATAAATGTATTAATTCAAGGATTATGTGGAGCAAAATAAAGGTTGGATGTGAGAAGTGGGTTATAGTAAGTGTATATGCACCTGGGGAAGAGAGAAGTTTAGAGGAGAGAGAGAGATTTTGGGAAATGTTGAGTGAATGCGTGGGGAGTTTTGAACCAAGACCAAAATCTATAAACCATGCATTGTAATCCTTGTAGAGAATTGAAGTGTGAGAGTACTTGTGGTTGGGGATTTTAATGCTAAAGTGGGTAAAAATGTTGTAGAGGGAGTAGTAGGTAAATTTGGGGTGCCAGGGCTATATGAAAATGGGGAGCCTTTAATTGAACTATGTGTAGAAAGAGGTTTGGTAATAAGTAATACATATTTTATGAAAAGAGGACAAATAAATATACAAGGTATGATGTAGCACATAATGAAAGTAGTTTGTTAGATTATGTATTGGTGGATAAAAGGCTGATGGGTAGGCTCCAGGATGTACACCGTTTATAGAGGGGCAACTGATATTTTGGATCATTATCTAGTTGTAGCTACAGTTAGAGTAAGAGGTAGATGGGATAAGAGGAAAATAGCAACAAGTAAGAGAGAGGTGAAAGTGTATAAACTAAGGGAGGAGGAAGTTCGGGTGAAAAATAAGCAACTACGTATTGGCAGAAAGGTGGGCTGGTGCAAGTATGAGTAGTGGGGGGGGGGGGTGAAGAGGGTTGGAATAGTTTTAAAAATGCAATATTAGAATGTGGGGCAGAAGTTTGTGGTTATTGGAGGGTGGGGGCAGGAGGAAAGAGGAGTGATTGGTGGAATGATGAAGTATAGGGTGTGATAAAAGAGAAAAAAATAGCTTATGAGAGGTATTTACAAAGCAGAAGTGTTATAAGAAGAGTAGAGTATATGGAGAGTAAAAGAAAGGTGAAGAGGGTGGTGAGAGTGCAAAAGGAGAGCGGATGATAGAGTGGGAGAGGTACTGTCAAGAAATTTTAATGAAAATAAGAAAAGTTTTTGGAGTCAGTTAAACAAGTTAAGACAGCCTAGGGAACAAATGGATTTGTCAGTTAAAAACAGAGTAGGGGAGTTAGTAGATGGGGAGATGGCGAGAATATTTTGAGGAACTTTTAAATGTCGACGAAGAAAGGGAGGCTATAATGTCATGCACTGGCTAGGGAGGTATACCATCTTTTAGGAGTGAAGAAGAGCAGGATGTGAGTGTGGTGGAGGTGCGTGAGGCATTACGTAGAATGAAAGGGGATAAAGCAGCTGGAACTGACGGGATCATGACAGAAATGTTAAAAGCAGGGGGGACATAGTGTTGGAGTGGTTGGTATTTTTGTTTAACCCTTTGTCTGTTTCAGGCCCCTTTCTGAAACTGTCATTCTGTGTCGCTCAATTTTTGAAAAAAAAAATTATTTTTTCTTTTGAAATGATAGAGAATCTTTTCCCGATGGTAATGACACCAAAAGTTCGAAATTTGGTCGAAAACTCATGGAGTTATGCTCCCGCGAAGTTAGCGGTCTCGGCGACATATGCATATCGGCGATTTTGCCGACTTTGAGCCCTATTTTTAGCCAATTCCATTGTTCCAGTTGACCAAACTCATAGCTATTTCTTTAGAACTCCATTTTATCTATCAGCTGAGTACAAGAAACCTCCCATTTACTAATTTGGACTACCCAATATGGTGGTCAGAAATTGGCAATTTGGCCAATTTTACGCAAACTAAAAAAAGATGCCAATTTCAAAATAGGGTCCAGAATAAACAAGGTAGACATTCGTGGCACTAAAATAACATATGCTCTGTTCATTAGTCACATCTCTAGGCCCCTCTTATATTATTATTATTGCTTTCTATTTTGATTTTTTATTCATACAAAAAAATACAAAATTTACTGTTATGCAGACTACTGCATTATTGTAAAAATGGTATAAATAATATCAGTGCACTATTGAAAGAATATTAGACTCCCCAGTTGACGTGTATTGGACGTGTGGTGTGATTTATTTACTCCTGAACATTGGTAAAAATCGAACATTTCCGCTACTTTGAGCTCGGTTTCAAGGTCGTTTTCATCGTCAAAGTAATGAAAATCATCTCTATTTCTGTAATATGTTTTCCATTTTATCACCTAAGACCATGAAAACGCGAATACACCGATAAATACTATACGAAAATACACCTCAAAGTCAGCGTTTTATTCCAAAAAAACGATCGTTTTTTTTTCTCATTACGCAATGTGTGCTGCAGGATTTTTTTATGCGGTGCACACTGACCACACAGACCCATTCTCTCACATGTGGGCCTACCAGCTTTCTCCCGCTTGATTTGAAGCCGCTAGAATTATTGAGTATATATACGTCAGAAACATTGGCTCGTAAGACGTATTTATACGTTGAAAACAGTCAAAGGGTTAATAAATGTATGAAAGAGGGGAAGGTACCTAGGGATTGGCTGAGAGCGTGTATAGTCCCTTTATATAAAGGGAAGGGGGACAAACGAGATTGTAAAAATTATAGAGGAATAAGTTTACTGAGTATACCAGGAAAAGTGTTCAGTAGGGTTATTGAAAGAATTAGAGGTAAGACAGAATGTAGAATTGCGGATGATCAAGGAGGTTTTAGAGTGGGTAGGGGATGTGTAGATCAAGTGTTTGCATTAAAGCATATATATGAGCAGTATTTAGATAAAGGTAGGGAGGTTTTTATTGCATTTATGGATTTAGAAAAGGCATATGATAGAGTGGATAGGGAAGCAATGTGGCAGATGTTGCAAGTATGTATATGGAATAGGTGGTAAGTTACTAAATGCTGTAAAGAGTTTTTATGAGGATAGTGAGGCTCAGGTTAGGGTGTGTAGAAGAGAGGGAGACTACTTCCTGGTAAAAGTAGGGCTTAGACAGGGATGTGTAATGTCACCATGGTTGTTTAATATATTTATAGATGGGGTTGTAAAAGAAGTAAATGCTAGGGTGTTCGGGAGAGGGGTGGGATTAAATTATGGGGAATCAAATGCAAAATGGGAAGTGACACAGTTACTTTTGCTGATGATACTGTGCTTATAGGAGATTCTAAAGAAAAATTGCAAAGGTTAGTGGACGAATTTGGGAGTGTGTGTAAAGGTAGAAAGTTGAAAGTGAACATAGAAAAGGGTAAGGTGACGAGAGTATCAAATGATTTAGATAAAGAAAAATTGGATATCAAATTGGGGAGGAGGAGTATGAAAGAGGTGAATGTTTTTAGATATTTGGGAGTTGATGTGTCAGCAGATGGATTTATGAAGGATGGGGTTAATCATAGAATTGATGAAGGAAAAAAGGTGAGTGGTGCATTGAGGTATATGTGGAGGCAAAAATTGTTATCTATGGAGGCAAAGAAAGGAATGTATGAAAGTATAGTAGTACCAACACTCTTATATGGGTGTGAAGCTTGGGTTGTAAATGCTGCAGCAAGGAGGCAGTTGGAGGCAGTTGGAGGCAGTTGGAGGCAGTGGAGATGTCCTGTTTAAGGGCAATGTATGGTGTAAATATTATGCCGAAAATTCGGAGTGTGGAAATTAGGAGAAGGTGTGGAGTTAATAAAAGTAGTATTAGTCAGAGGGCTGAAGAGGGTTTGTTGAGGTGGTTTGGTCATTTAGAGAGAATGGATCAAAGTAGAATGACATGGAGAGCATATAAATCTGTAGGGGAAGGAAGGCGGGGTAGGGGTCATCCTCGAAAAGGATGGAGGGAAGAGGTAAAGGAGGTGTTGTGGGCGAGGGGTTTGGACTTCCAGCAAGCATGCGTGAGCGTGTTAGATAGGAGTGAATGGAGACAAATGATATTTGGGACCTGACAAGCTGTTGGAGTGTGAGCAGGGTAATATTTAGCAAAGGGATTCAAGTAAACCAGTTATTTTATATAACTGGACTTGAGTCCTGGAAATGGGAAGTACAATGCCTGCACTCTAAAGAAGAGGTTTGGGATATTGGCAGTTTGGAGGGATTTATTGTGTATTTTTATTCGTATATACAGTGGTCTCTCGCTTTTCGTAGTTCTCGGGAATCATAGATTTCGGAAATCATAGGGATATTTTCATATAACATGGGCTCGCTAATCATAGGTTGACTCGCGAATAGTAGTTCGTCCGGGACGCGTACACACGGTGTGAGCCGGGGTGGCCTCCCTACCCAGCCAGTCTGGCATTGTTTACCAGTGAGCGAAGGTCCCCTTACGTGCTCCTACGAAATATTTCACAATATTCCACTCATTTTAGTGCTTGCAAGTACTAAATAAGCTACCATGGCTCCAAAGA